CAGAAAAGAAAATTTCTGTCTATATTTCTGAGATTCGATATTGTAAGTATTTACATCGTTCGGACTGTTTTTCTCATCTTTATTGACATATTCACGACGTTTCAAACGTTGTACGCTCTGTCCCCTCTTCAGATGACCTGGATTTCGAACTGAACTCTTTAATATGGCAACAAAGATGAGGACAACAGTCCGAACAATGGAAATAAAAAAAAAAAGAATTATTCTTTTAATACGAAATATGTATCAGCTTCAAATAACTTAAAAAGGACTGATAAACCGTAAAATATGAATCACTCAACCGTTGTTTTTGTATTCAGTCAGTCAGTTCTGTACCATGCGTGACACACGCTTAGACGATCATGTGTCTTTCGATACATGACTGACGAGGCTGGTTTTTTTTTCCCGCGGTAGGTTGCCATTTCTTTCTGCGGTAGACCAGTTGCTATCCAAAGCTATAGAACCCGGTCTGTCCTGCTATTTACCCATAGCTGGTGGGGGAATAAGAGGGTTAATACCTTTCCCAAGGGTATTAGCACGTAAGTGAATGTAATGGATTCGATTGGAATTCGAACTCGGCTCTCCGATTCCTCAATCCAAGCCGCTAGGAAACCTTATTCGACACCAATAATCGATCTTGTCTCTGTCGTCGCTTCGTAGCCGAGAATCTAACCAGTTCGTTCCACATGTCTTGACAGGTTCGACCTGGTGTAGACTAACTCTCGGGCCAGGCCACAGTCCTTTGTAGTTGTTAGTATTTTTTTTCTTTACTCTCTTTCCAATTAAAGCTCAATAAATTCTCTGGATCGGGTCGACAGGCACCTAAAGAAGGCCGTAAGCTACAACAGCCCAAACGTATTGATACTAAAGATGGTGTGGAATATTGGTTGAAAGGAAAAAACAAAATAATAAATACCAGTTCTTGATATAAAAATTGTCTTTAAGCGGAACTGGTTGCCTTGTTTCCACGGAGTTGACTTTGAATTATGGAAATGGGGTTAGGAGTCCACCGGACTCATCAGTGGCGAATCTAGAATTTACAGGTAGCCAATTCCTGAGAGATGTAAATGTAGTAGATTAGTACTCTTTAAACTTTTGGTGGGATGGGGGTGCTCAGGTAGGCCGCAGACCTCGTAATGGATAGAATCTCGAGATGCGAAACCGGAATGTCGAGTTCAAATCTCAGTCGATTATACCTTTGGGAACGGTATGCTTCCCCAGCAATGGGTTAAATAGTAGAACTTGCAAAGTGTCTGAAAGTCACACACACTCAAGTTCTTGTTCTGTACAACTAACATCCTAAACTCAAACCAAGGACTAAATTACACACACACACACACACACACACATATATATATATATATATATATATATATATAGATCTATTTTTAATGCGACATTTTTATTATTTCAAACGTTAAAATACCTGTTTTAATAAAAAAACGTTTGAATTTATATATATATATATATATATATTACAATAGAATAGACTATAATATAAAACTATATAAAAGACATATATATATATATTTTCAGTTATCTGTTTTGAATAAGACTTGTGTTTTTATGTCCATCGTATTTGTCATATTGAACTGAATTGTATTTTGATGAATATTGTCTTGAAAAAGGTTTATTAAACCGAAACGTCAGACGTCGACATTTCATTCATTTTAACTACATTTAAGGATTTTTGTTTGTTTTTTCAAAATTTTTCTTCATTCTGTCGGATTTATATCCATTTACACTTGCTTATATATATATATGACTAGAATATAAAATATAATACAATAGACACCATTCCGCTCGACATGGTAGCATAAACCTATTGAATTGATTAACGTATTAGTAATTAATAAAACATAAATAACAAATAACAGGTGTTATATCTGTTAATGAATTCAATATATTTATCTAAGTCTGACGAGCAGAATTGGCGTTTCTGCAAAACAGAAGATAAGTAAGTCAACATTATTCTATATACTCTCTTTCTCATTCATATATATATATATATATATATATATATAATTGAATCCAGGTAATGTTAAACAAATAAACGCGAAGGCATCTTGTTCTAGTTCGCCAACCCAAGTGAATGAGGCAAAGAAGATCATTATCCTTGTGCTCGGAGGATAGCCAGAAAAACGAATGTCATATATATATATATATATATATATATATATATATATATATATATACACACCACAGTTCAAAAGTTTGAGGCCACTCCTAATAATTTTTAAAAGATTGGCCGCAAAAATAGTTGTTTTGTACTTTAAATAAGAGAAAATCATTATACATTGTTTAAAAAAAGTAGACATGATTTTATTAGAAAGTTTATTATGACAAAAAGAAAAAAAGAAGCATTTCATGATTAAATTTTGCTGTGATCAAAATATCCTCCTTTAGCCTTGATTACCGCAGCACAAAATTTTGAGAATTCTTGAAAAAGTTTCTCAAAGTATAAGTTTGATAATTGATTCCATTTTTTTTGCTTCAGTGACTCTAAGAGCTTTATCATTTTTTTTTCACTCTTCTGTCAAGTTCATCCCATTCTAATTCTGGGAGTGGCTTCAAACATTTGAATTAATGTACATATATATATATATATGCGCGTGGCTGTGTGATTAGAACGTTCGTTGGGTGACCATGAAACTCGGGTTCGAATCTCACCACGGTTGATTTGTCAGAAAGGAAAGTGTCTGAAACCCAAGCCTTCTGAGTGAAATCGGGTGGACTAGCACGAAGTCACAAGTCATCATGCCCGAGGGTTTGAGTGTGCTGGCGTTGTTCCGATTGTTGATCATGCTAGATAAAATGCTTTCTCCCAGAAACTGTAACTAAAGTTTACTCAGCATAGTTGCCGTATAAACCACAGTTTGGCTGTGTGGTTATTGAGCGATAATCTACAATAAGGATTAGCTTGCCGCTCGGGTAATCTCGAAATACGAGTGGCCATATATATATATATGTATGTATTATAGTAAAAAGAAAGCTTATTGATATTTTTATTTTTACAAAACAGTGCTCAATTTAAATTTACAGTGCATAAATATTATAAATTAACTGATTTAATTTTAAATCGGTTAATTTATAATATATATAAAAAGAAAGAACAGTAAGATATATAATCCGGTGTTCTTATAGATATTTTTTATTTTTACAAAATAGTGCTCAATGTAAATTTACAGAGTATTAATATTATAAATTAATTGATTTAAAATGTTTTTTCTCGCTACACAGTTGTAACCATGTTTATATATATATATATATATATATATATATATATATATATATATATATATATATATAAACACGAGTTTCAAAATCTGCTCACCTTGTACACGTAATTTACTGATCAATGTGTTTTGTTTGGCGTAAAGTAACTGTGTTGTATTTGTATGGTCTTTTCGTTGTAGGATAAATGTATAGCCGAGAATTTTTCAGCACCTTCTAGTTAGTTATTTACGTAAACTGTATACACAAACTATCATTTTCATCTGGTACAAGAAAATTAACACAGCTGTTCCTATTAGAAAGACTATTCTACTATAATAACTATAAGAAGCTGCTATACGACTTTCTGACCTCAACCGGGACTTGAACACCCTCGACTTACGAGAGTCCATAAAAAAAGGGCAGAGAGTCACATGTATTTAAATTTTACTCAAACGACTCCTGTCTGTGTGTTTGAAATGCTTCTTTCACGCTTTGCTGCTACACGATCCAGACTGTAAGTTCCGTGTGTGGAGCCTTGCGTATTTTGTACGGTAAACTGTTTTGGTTTTCCGCCGACGTTTTTTTCTTTTCTTGTCCTACAAGAACCATTTTATTCTTTCGTGTTCGTTTGTTCGTCTTACAGAATCAAGGGATTCCACCCCTCCACACCTCACTCTCTTGTAAACGAATAGTCGGTATCATTGAAGCTTTCTTCTGTCTTCAGATACTGTTGGCTCTTTGAAAGACATGCCAAGTACATCGGAATGGTTGGGCGTTCCAGTAAGAAATTGTATTTTTATCTTGGCGTTGTGTTTGTGTGTTCGTTTCTTAAATATTGAAAGCTCAGCTTGAAACAATCATGAGAGAGAAAGATTGTATTGCGCCAATAATTGGCGTTTGAATTATTTGCATTTTTGAAGCTAAGTTTAGTTAAATCAAATATTAATTTTAGAGAAGAAGGATTATTTCGCTTTAGCCAAATTAATGCGGATAACCTGTTTAACTTAATATTTTCATTCGAAATTATTCGGTTATTTTAGTATGTCACAATGAAAAATGAGTCGGGAAGATAGGGTAGCTTCAATTAGCCAAGGAAAGAAAAAATCCTTATCAAAATGGCGTTGCAGCACCATTTCTAAAACGTAACAGCAATCAATCATGTTCCATCCGTGATACAGGTTTGAGCTATCGCGTCTCTTTCGATTCCTGACTGACGAGGTAGATTTACCTGCAGTAGGTCGCCACTTCTTTCAGGAATAGTCTGGTTGCCAGCCAAGGCTATAGAACTTAGTCTGTCTTGCTATTCAACCCATAGCTGGAGGTACAATAGATAGATTCATACCTTTCCCACGGCTAATACGCGTAAGGGAATATAATGTACTCGACTGGAATTCGAACACGGTTCTCCGATTTCTTATTCGAAGACGATAACCGTTACGCAGCAGCAAACTTAGCATAAAGGTAAAAAAAAAAAAAGTTTTTGGAGACACCTCGCAAAGTGTTGGCAGCGTTAACTTGTAAAATTACATGAACAGAAAATGGATAATATATTTAGGGATGATGTTAGGTCTTGGATTCATTTTATAAATTGGTGATACTCGATTTGAAAAAAATCAGAAAACATGGACATTTATGCCCACAAAACACGGATTGTCAAAAGGAGGAGTTTTTCCATGAAACCGCTTATTTTTTTCTTTTTTTTTTTTTAAATTACTTTTCCTGCTCGACAATTCTTGTTTTCAAAAACGATGCTTTGGAATTGTAATGAGACTTAGATACGATAAAAGTGAATTTTTACCTTTTTTCCTCTTTTTCTTTTTCCCGTCTTTTTTCCTCTTTTTCTTTTTCCCGTCTTTTTTCCTCTTTTTCTTTTTCCCGTCTTTTTTCCTCTTTTTCTTTTTCCCCTGTCTTTTTCCTCTCTTTTTCCCTGTCTTTTTTTCCTCTCTTTTCCTTTCTCTTTTTTCCCGTCTTTTTTCCTCTTTTTCTCTTTTCCCGTCTTTTTTCCTCTCTCTTTTTCCCGTCTTTTTTCCTCTCTCTTTTTCCCGTCTTTTTTCCTCTCTCTTTTTCCCGTCTTTTTTTTCTCTCTTTTCCCGTCTTCTTTTTTTCCTCTCTTTTTCGTTGTCTTCTTTTTCCTCTCTTCCTTTCCCGTCTTCTTTTTTTCCTCTCTCTTTTTCCCGTCTTTTTTCCTCTCTCTTTTTCCCGTCTTCTTTTTTCCTCTCTCTTTTTCCCGTCTTCTTTTTTCCTCTCTCTTTTTCCCGTCTTCTTTTTTCCTCTCTCTTTTTCCCGTCTTCTTTTTTCCTCTCTCTTTTTCCCGTCTTCTTTTTTCTTCTCTCTTTTTCCCGTCTTTGATTCGTTTTTCCTCTTTTCTCCTTTCTTTCCTCACCACCTTCTGTCTTACCTTCATAGTTTTATTCTTAAATGCGCCTTTCTTACACACCACAAATAGAATACATATATTGAGGAAAAAAAAAAAAATAAAAACACCCGCTCTAATTGTATTTCCTGCCAGGTGGAGAAAATCCTCTTTTCCTAACGGAGATAACTTCGTACGCACAGAGCAAGGATTTTTCGAGCAGCAGTCGTTAAAAAAAAATCCTAATTGTTTTCGTAATTATATTCTTTTATATTTTTACCCAGAATTCTCAAGGACAATGGATGTTGCCAGGGTCGAAACAACTTTCGATAGCATCATTTCACTTATTTAATTTCTTAACCATTTTTACAACCATAGATTAAATGTTATATAAAATATTTTTTATTCTCTATTGATCTCTGTTATATATAAAGATAAAATATATTTTTAAGTTACGCCATATTTATAGGGTAAAAAGAGTAGCAACCGTCTTGAACACAAAACTCGCAGTTTACGGTAAAGCACGAAACAGACTGTCACCACTCGATATTGACATCAGTGTCCACACAGATTAAAGTTCTATTAAATTCAGTCAATAAATCTGAAGTATTACTGACACTTATGGTCCGGTTAACCTAGAGTATATTTAGAGATTTTGTTTTTAAAATTCAAAGAATCAGCAATATTATTGGTCCTGACCTGGCATCTCGGCTTCAGTTCCTTTCCCACCGCCGTATCGTAGTTTCTGTGTGCCTTTTCTATAAATATTTTTATGGTAATTGTTCGGGCGAACTCTTCACTATGGTACCTAGACTTTATGAATTGAAGCGTAGTATTAGATTGGCTACCAAGATCTCATCATTTTACAGTTGAATAAGGCTAGCTGTAACCGTAAGTTCTATGCTAACAGTTTCTTCTCTCGTAAGTCTCGCTTGTGGAAATCTCTTCCGGCTTCTTGCTTTCCAGTCAGTTTTGAGTTTCAAATATTTAAATGCAATGTCAATCGTTATCTTCTGGTTTGGTTTGTTTTACGACACATCAACCTTAATGGTTATTTAATGCCAACAAGATTTTTATTACTGGTCATATATATATATATATATATATATATATATATATAGTAACACCAAAATTGTCCATCCCGCAAAATGTTTAATACCTAAAAAAAAAAAAATAAATAAAATAAAAATGTTTCATTTTTCTAGATTTTTAGATAAGAAGTTTAGGTATCTTGACAACATTTGTCATAAGAATCACTGAAAAATCCTTTGATTTATTCAGCTAGAAATAGAACAGGTTAAAATTGTTTTGTATCAGCCGCACGGTATCTTCCAAACTGAACAATGGTGAGAGAAAAAAAAAGATCATTGAGGCCTTCAGTAATGGTACCAAACTTCATACTCGGACCATAACAAAGTCCATTTCAGAACCACCAAGAGAACGGTGAATAAGTTTAAAAATGAGGGAACAGTAGAGAGGGAAATTGGATCACGCGTTTGCAATAGGAAGAGGGATCATCGTTTCAACTTAGAGCTAAAGAGATCAATTAGAAAAGATCCAACTCAATTCATAAGACGTTTGGCATATGTGAGAGGAGTTTCACCGATGACAGCCGAAAGAGCAGTGAAAATAGAATCGTACGTGAAACATGCGTGGCACCCATTTACTCCAGGATAGATCCTGGAATATATATATATATATATATATATATATAAATTTCATGAGCTTCCGATAAATTAGCTATGATAATTAATGAGGAACATGCCAATTTCGTTTATGATCGATTTCATCACGATTCTTCTAAGCTTGGAGAGTCATTATACATTTTTATTGCTCAAAGTAGAGTCTAATGGTGTTATAAAAACATCGAAAAATTCCAGTGAGATATCTTTAATCATTTCTAACGTTCAGATCTTAATCTAACAATTGGACAATTTTGCTGTTACACCCGGTATATGCATAATGATTTTTCAGTAGAAAAGAATTGAAAAAATTAAGGAAAGAATAAGGGATTTTCAGGAATTAAATTTTCTATTGTTTGCAGAATATAGAATCATCGTAATGTGTTATTTTTTGCTTTTATTATCAGCCGTTGCTTCCTCAGACCTTCTTCCAGCGTCTTAAGTTGGAAAATGATCCTGAAATATTAATAATAATAATATATATACTCTTAAGATGTGCTATATTTATGAGATAAAGTGCCCAATATCAGAGATAGAGCGTGTGTAAATATAAAAGTGAACATTGAAGTCAACACTTAGAGGCGACAGGCTGTTTCATGGTGGCCTGACGATGATGTCTAGCATGAAACAGCCTGTCGCCCCTAAGTGTTAACTTCACCGTTCGCTTTATATATATATATATATATATATATATATAGTGTAACCCGGATATAAGAGAGATTTTCTCTGGTCTCAAATTAGAGCCTGTGTTAATGTATATAAAATAGATTAAACCCGGATATAAGAGACTTCTTCTCCGGTCCCGACAACTCTCTTATATCCGGGTTACACTATATACATATATATATATAACTTTATTTCAGTCCTTCATGAACTTTCGATCCTTAGCTATGATTAATTAATGATGAACATATCATTTTCGCTTATGATCGATTTCATCACGATACTTCTATTAAGCATAATCTAACAATTGGACAATTTCTCTGTGACACGATATATATATATATATATATATATATATAAAGCAACGTCCCAGAATTTGGCACCATAGCGTGTCAAGTAATAAAGAGGGTCTTTATCAGATGCTGTGGTGATGTGAAAAGAGTTACGTGATTCTCTAACAGAATTTCTTTTATTAAATTCAGTTTATTTTATTTATATTCTTGTCTACATCCCGTTTCTCTTTTACATACGGAGGTGAAGAACCCGTATAAAGTGTTGGGTGGGGGGGATAGCTTTCGTCTGGGTTGCTAACGCCATACAGTTCTCAACCCAAATTTACAAACAAATAAAAATAGGAATTACAAAGACGAAATATCGACATATGTCATAAATTATCCGTAGTAGCAAGGTTATCTGGCGTTGCCTTTGTTCAACGGATCATTATTATTCGTCAAAGGGTAAACCTTAACACGACTCTGCGGGATATACGAGAAGACTCACAGAATAAGATTTTTTTTTTAAATAATTAATGGCCATTTAATTCAAAATTATATCTTATCTTATAATTATATTTGTCCTTCCCATAGTTAGCACGGCTGTTTCACCCTGTACATAACTCATAAATCATCGCCTATTCCATTTTGATCGCGTGGAAAGACGAAAAAGGTATAACAGAGACGTGGTTTGGTTTCAAAGAGAAAAAAAAACAAGAAAGAAGGAAGTGTTTAACATCTCCTGCCAATACCTCCATAAATAATTGACTATTCCATTTTGATCGCGTGGAAAGACGACAAAGACACTTCGAAACGCTACTTGGTTTCAGTGAGAAAATGAAAGAGAAAGCATGAAAGATAGTGTTTAATGGCTGCTTCAGTGAAATTTCAAATCTTTTCATTTGTACCCACTTCTTAAAATAACGACCAGCATTAAATTTTATGATTGTTATTGCAATATTTTTTTAGTTTTTAAGTTCAAATATTTAACGATGGGATAGGGGAATTTCTACGGATGTTTTAATGTCTTAGAACTCGCCATAAGCCTGTTCAATCATTAACTCAAAAATTATGATTCATCAGAATATTAAAATAGGAAAACTGAAATATTTCACGGGTTAAACCTAGTTATAATAATAATAATAATATTTCGATTTCTGCTATGGTTACACTACCTATCAAATCTGCAGGAAGACCTAAGGCAGGTAGATGTGTATTGTTATGGCTACATTTCATGATTTGTTTTTGTAAATACCATAACATCAATAAGGTTACATGGACAAAGTTCTTCTTAGCGTGTGGATTGTACGTATCAGGACAATTTTTTGTATTTCTCTTAAGATGGGATTTCTAGAGATTTTTCAATGTGTTGTTGTGTTCCTTTTTTTATCATTCCAAGCGCTTCTACTATGACTAGTACTATTGTTGGTTTTAGTTTCCATTATTATTATTACTATTATTATCATTTAGTGCACCTAGATTCAGTCAGACTCATTTCTAGCAGTTGACAACTACTTCTATGAGCAGCTGGCGAAGCTTGTATATGTTGTTCTTGTCGTAAGTATTATTGCTCATTACCAACCTTTGTGTGATTATTCTATTCAGTAACCTTCCCTACGTTACAACAGAAATGTAAAACGTTGTCAATTTCAAATTTTTTGAACCCACTTCTTAAAATAACGACCAAAATACATATTTACGACTGTTATTGTAATATTTTGTTAAAGTTGTTAAGCTCAAGTACTTAACGGTGAGATGGGGGAATTTCTACGGATATTTTTTTCGTAGAACTCGCCATGAGCTTATTCAATCATTAACTGAAGAATTAAGATTTCAAATAGGAAAACCGTGAAATGTTCACGGGTTAAAACTAGTAATAATAATTATTATATTCTATTGTAATTATCCCTCCTGGCGTTAGTTCGCACGACCGTTTCGTCCTACCAATACCTCATAAATAAAGGACCATTCTGTTTTGAATACGTGGAAAGAGGTGAAAGGACACTGCTTGGTTTCAATGGAAAAATGAAAGAAAGAAACAGAGAAAAAAAATCAGGATTAAGCTGATGTGAACAGATACTACACTTTGATCTTTGCCAAAAGACCGAGAATGGAGGGACAAGCATAATTATAAAAAAGTTATTGCTATTATTGCAATATTTTGCTAAAGTTGTTAAGCTCAAATATTTAACGATGCGATAGGGGAATTTCTACGGATATTTTATTGTCGTAGAACTCGCTAATCATTACCTTAAGAATTAAGATTCATCAGAAAATTAAAATAGTTAAATCGTGGAAATTTTCACGAAAAATTCTAGTTTGTATATATATATTATATTTAGTTGGAACACGGGTTGAAGCAGACATCTCTGTTTTTAAACAGTGTAATTAACATCTGGGACTCATGATCGTGAATTGACGTCTACCGACCTCGACAATCAAAACTTTTAACTAAAATATGCACCTCGAACTATCA